GGCCACGCAGACCCCCAGCCCGCCTTGCCAAGCCTTCAACCACTACCTGAGCGCGATGGGTAAGCGAGGGTTCCCCGCGCCGCCTTGCTGCCCCGCTGCGACGCTCGGGTCCCCCTGTGCTGCCCGTGGCTTTCCCAGCACAGAAAACCCTTCCGCTGCTCCAAAGCTCCTTGGGGGCCGTTCCTGACCCTGCGGACCCAGCAGGGGAAGGGATGGGCGGTGGGACAGGGAGGTGAGAGGCTGCCTTGCTTCATGCCACAAACACTGTCCCAGGATCCAGCATAGGATGGGTAGCGCCAGAGGTGGGAGAGGTGTTCAGGAAGTTGCTTTTAAAACTTGGCCTTTGGGGCGTTTCAGATGGACTGAACGGCTTTTATTTATCCCCTTATTTACTTTTAACCTGCCGCTGAGGTCTTCCCATCTTGACAGTGTAAAATAGATACCCGTGGAGATGCAGCGTGCAGCTTTCTAGTAGGAAAATAACGTACTGGATGCGGTTTGATTTCAAACATCTGGTTTTTGAGATTTTTTTTTTTGGTGTTTCAATTTCATGCTTTCAAACCGTGCTCTGCTCCGAGATTTTCTCTCCCCCGTGTTCCCCCCGGGCAATACAAGCTACCGAAGCGGTTCGTGTACCTGCAGGAGGGTTGCAAAACGTGACACCGGGGCCTGAGCCTGGCCCGGGGAATATTTCCCCGGGCAGGGGCAGCCGGAGCAGCGTGTGGATAATTTCTGCGTGCCCGGATCTGCGGGCTGACGAGCTGGGGGTCCTCTTGGCCACCTCAGCCTAGAGGCTGTTGCCGGCGCTAGTTGGGCTTGCAGCGGGCTGGACGCTTGCCCGGGTTGCAAAGTGTTGGGAGGTTTTGCAAGGTAGCCATTCCCACGTGGATAGTGCGGTCCACTCAGCGTACCTGCCCTTGAGGGGCTTGAAATGGCCAAAGGTTACCCAAGCGGGTATTCTGCCAGCAAATTTTTTATTATTTTATTTTATTTTATTTTATTTTATTTTATTTTATTTTATTTTATTTTATTTATTTTATTTTATTTTATTTTTTGCTGGAGTCATAGGGGAATAGGTAGGTTTCTGCTTGGGGAAAGCAAATAAAATTCGTGTTAGCAGGTGACTCCTGCTTCCCCATCAGTGGCAGCGCGCGCTGTGCTTGCGTTCAGGCTTGCTTGCGTGGTGAGATTTAATGCATTTGTTTTTAAATAAACTGCCGCGGCCAGGGTCACAAAGCTCCCGTTTCCGTTCCTGAACCTCAGATTGGTGTTTGACAACATCATCTCTAGCTGCTCGAGGTTTGTTTACATGGGGCTGAGCAGGTAAGGGCTCGAGTTCAAGCCTCTGATGATGGAGCAGGCACTACTGCAGCAAACTTGTTGAAATATTGAGCTGATGTCATCCTGCCGGTGTGATTAATTCTGCTTAATCAGAAGAACGAGTGCTAAGAATGTGGCAGAAGCAAAGGGCGCTGGGCTAACTCGTGCACTGGTGATGCAGGGACTTCTGTTGATACCGTTTCTTGGTGCATAACAAACATCAGCTTTGAGCTTTATGTGATCAAAACATCTTTTTCTTTTTTTTTTATAGTTAATGGCTGTGGTTACAGCTGCAAAGTACTTACTGTAATATGCCCTTAGGAAAGATTTTCTGACATTATTGCAGTAATTACAGCTTAATGCTTGTTTCACAACCTTATGTAGAAAACACACATAGAATTACTAGGCAAGGGTGCTGGGGTTCTTCAGTGAAGATGGTCACAGCTATTTTTTAGCACTAAATAACATTTTTTTTGCCAGTACTCCAGGCAGAAATGGAAGTTTTCCCTAAGTTCCCGAGCTCCCGCTTTTCCATCCCTATGGAGAGCTCTGCGCATGCTGTTGAAATGATGGTTTTACTCGAGCCTTTGTTCTGTTATTGTTGCTAGGGGCATCATCCTAAACATCTATAAGCAACTGGAAAAATACGCCAGCTCTTTAAATGAGACCCTTGGCTACTTTCAAACATGATTAAGCGAGAAACGTGAAGCTAGAGCGCGGTTTTATCCTTGTTCAGGGCCCGCAGGTCCCAGAATGTGCCGTACTGCTCGGCTCGCCTCGACGAAGGGCTAGGGAAGGGTTCAGGAGCTGCTAGAGGAGGATCTGGTGGATGATATCCCACGGATTCCGCGGGAATGTCTCTCATCCAAGGAGTGGAGGACCAAGTCTTTCAAATTCCCAGGGAAGAGCAGCCTTGGGAAGCTGTCGGGTTGGCATACGGCCCATATGTGCAAACAGGTTTTTAATGGTTTATCAGGAGTAACTGCTGTGGCTCTGCAGTGCTTCGACGTCTTATGGAAGCAGATGTTAAGGGGTTTCTGCTTCATAAATGAAAAGATGAAAATTTAAGAAACTTTTCATTAACTCTATCCAGCACCCCAAAACACTATTAATTTCTCCTCGGTAGTTGGCACTTTTTTCACTAATGTCTCATGAGGAAGTGTTAATTTTCAGTTGTTTTGGCCTAACGGGTTGCTTATTCTCAGTGCTGTATCTGCAGCTCTTCCTGGGTTCCGTAGCCTTGGGATGCTGGTGAGTGCTGCTATTTCTCCGTGTGCTCCTGCCTGCACTAGGGCTGCCCAGAGCTGGTCAGTGGGTGTTGGAGGACGCGAGTCACTTGTGGTAGAGGATGATGCATGGGCAGATTCTCTGCTGTCCCCCTGTGCAAGGACCCGGTAACAGATTTAAAAAAACCTTCTTAATTCTTCTGCTGTTCAGTGTTAAGTAGGAGCATCCACTTGGCAAGGCAGGGACCAAGGTTTGTGTTTGCGATATGATGCGCTTTGGTGCTCCTCGCCTGTTGGAATTGATTCCTCCCTAAGAAAACCAGTGCTATCCTTTTTTTTTTTTTGATATTTTTTTTCTGCATAGATTTGCTGGGATGAGAGGCACTCTTAAAATCAGGTGGGTCTTTGTTTTCTGGGCCATGGGTGGGAGGGATCCCAGCTGAATCACTCTAGGGCACTATAGTGCGGGCTGTGAGATGAGCTTCTCCAGGACGCATAAGTAAAGTGGCATTTAATAGTAAATGTAAGTGTTCTGCAGCAGGAACAGTTAGTGTGTCCAGGGTGTGATGGCAGAGCAGTGTTTTTAGCCTCTTTTGTGAGGAGCAGGAGAGCATTTCTGAGGAGCAGGTTCCCATTCTGCTCCCAAACCACCTCCTTGAAATGTCAGAGACCTTTGCTGACGTTACCAGAGGTCCCAATGCCGACCAATGTCTCTGGCACGAGCTGTCCGAGTTCCGCGGGGTGGGAGCAGGTTGCCGTTCGCTCGCTGCACACGGGCTGCTGGCAGAGCAGGAGCGTTGAGGTGTCAGCCAAGCAAATTGAGTTCCCGGCCTGACTGAGTTCCCTGGCGATTTGCAGACCCCGTTGCAAGAACCGCGGTTAAGGGGAGAAGACCTGGTGAGTGCTGCAAAGCCGAGAACGTTTTTTGAGGCAGCTTTTGCCAGGGTCTCAGCTGAGACAACTTTCCATCACAGACAGCCCTGCTTGCCCAGGCAGATGCAGCACCCAGGAGCCCTGCTCAGCTCTGCTGCAAGGTGAGGGGTGTTGGGTCCGTTGCTGCCCAGCGAGCTCATGAAATGATGCTCTCATGGCAATCTTAGCTTTTTTTGTTGTTGGTGGTGGCTTATTTAGAAGTTGGAAAGAGGAGGCAGGATGGCAATGCTGCTGTGAAATGAGGAATTTTACAGTGACAGGAAAGGGGAGCTCAGACTCCTTGCTTGCAGGGTGAGTTGTTGCAAAGGCTACATTTGCAGCTTTGTATCTGAGAAGGTCCAATTTGCTATGCTAGCATCTACTTTGAAAAGCCTTCTACTGCATCTTGTGCTGTCATTTAAAACGCTTAATCTCATTTCTCAGGAAAAAAAGAGCAACAAAGAGCTGTTCTTGGATGAGGGATATAAAGCAGCTTGCTGTGCAAGGTTGGTCCGGTGTGTTAGGAAAGATGCTTGTGAGGGGGAGTGAAGGAGGAACAGTGATGAGCTCCCTTGGCCTTGCCAGGACCGTGAAGAAGTCCCTGATGATGAATCAAAGAGGTTTTGCTGGAGATCTGATGCTAGGAGAGAGATCCTTGTGTTGCATCCTCCTGAGAAATGACAGAGGAGATGGTTTTTCATGCTTTTCGATCTCTATCATTTGAAAGAAGTGAAACAAAAGCACCAGCATGTCCTGGGGTTGTATTTTCTATTTTTCCCTCCAGCTTCTCTAGGAAACTGATGCTCTGCAGTCTTGTGTTGCTGGAGTGGATGCTTGAACTTCACGCGTTTCAGGCTAGTCAATACCATGTGTTTCATAGCTTGAACCAGCTTTTCCTGTCTCATTGAAACATCCTGTCCAGTGTGTCTGCTGGTATCTTCCCTCCCTCCCGTCCAGAAAGTGTCTTCCCAATCCAGCTTTAACCGAGTTGAAGGTCCAGCACCCAGGAATTTCTCCTGGTCGCCAGAAGAGGCCATAAAGATGCAAGAAAAATGTGCCAGAAGTGGTGACCCCCATGCAGAGCAATAGCAGTGAGAGCGCTTGGGATTAAATGACCCGAGATAAGAAAACAGCCCTTCAGAGGGGCTAGAAGAGCTGCAGGCCTCGGCTCTTGATGGGAGCTGCTCAACTCTTTTTGTTTTCCCAAAGAGCAGCTTTATCTACAAGAGCAGGAGGTGCACGTGCAGGCTTTGTATATATTTTTCCTGGAGGTACTTGGAGCAGGTGCGTAGAAGTGATTTGTAAATGAGTTTCCTCTGTGCTATTCTGATCTTGGTGTGTTTTCCTGCCCTCCAGAAGAGGGGAAAGAAGTGTGAAGTTTTCGTGCTCTGTGTGGAACTGTTTTGCTTTTCCTCCAGCAGAGGAGGCAACAACCTGTGTGAAAATAAATAATAATGAACTGGCTCTTGTGAATAAAACCCGTGTTGGTAAACCCTTGTATAATGCCTCTGGCTTGACATGGAGCGAGGAAACAGCGCTTTCATGTAAACTCAACATGAAAGAGTCGGGGAAAACCCTGAGGCTGTAGCAGAAAGGCGAATTGAATGGGGAAACCTTAAACCAAGAAGCTGAAAATCTGTGTATGCCCAGAGTGGTGATGCCCTCCTTCCCTTCTGGAGGTCACTGGGCTCCTGCTTTTGACTTTGCTCTTTTCTCCTCAGCGCTGGTAGGAGCGTGGGTCCCTTCAGCGCCTCCTGAAGGGATGCGGGGCGTCTTCCTTTGCCCACATCTGATACTTCTCTGCCTTCTCACCAGCTTCCAAGGACCTGCTCCAGCGTACGGAGGTGCTAGGGTTTCTCTGCAGAAGGCTCTGGCGCGCTCGGCCGGCTCTTACGGCCAACGTCTGCGCGTCTGATCTTGTTCTTGGAACTGGACCCATCTGACTTGCGGTGTAAAACGAGAGGCCGGGACTGCAAGGGGGAGCTCCAGCCCAAACCGCCGGCTTGGTAGAGCTGCGGGCTACTGGAAGCAGGCCCTCGCGCTGGAAAGTGGGACACGGTGGTAGCCCTTTAGTTAGCGTTACTTGATACGTTTTTCTTAGGAACGTGCCGTTTCAGAGCTGCTAGTTTTCTCCTTGAGCTTCATGTGTATAACCTGCTGTTTCATCTGAAGCCATTTTCCAGTGTTTTTACAGAGAGGCTTTCTTGAGGGGGATTTGGGTTACAAAACTTGGAAGCTACAAGCCAAAACAAAAAGTTGTATCCAAAACATGGGCCAGTGATTTTGTTCGTGGTGCCAGCCTCCAGGCTGGAACAGCCTGTGGACTCAGACCTGCAGGTGGAAGGAAAGCTGCTCAGGACGTGCCCAAGAAGTAGATCACCTGGGGTGCTGATGGCTCCATGGGGGGCACCCGAGACAGACGTCCTGGGGACGTCCGTGGCTGCTCGGGGCACTGCTGTGGCCCCTGTTTTCTCAGCAGCCAGGTGGTCTTGCTGTGCATCCCGAGAGAGGCAGGACAAGGTTGGGGGTCCTGGATTCACAGGATTTCCAGGTCCCAGCCGAGACCTGTGCGTGGGGAGAGAATTGCTTCGTGGTGTGTCCAGCCTTAGTGCCTGGGTGCCCCTGAGGCTCTTCCAGCCCTGTCCTCCTCATCCCCTTTATCTTTTCTCCACTGCAGCAACCTGCCCCTTCCCACTGAGCTTGGGGCAGGCTTGGTGGCACCCATCGGGACATAGGGCAGGATGGGCTGGGCCAGCACTGGCCGTGGGCACGTCGGAAGCCCCTCAGAGAGCTCCCAGACCTTAGCCAAAGTGCTTGACATTAGTTTCCAGCATCTAGCCTGGATCTCTCTTCCTGCTGTCATCTGTGCAGCACCGAACGCTTTATTGGCGGCATCAACTTCAAGGGTGCAACGTTGGCTCATGGGCCTGTCGCCCTGCGATGTTTCACGTGTACGGACAGGCGTCTCATCCCTTTGATCCCGGGTAAAGCCGTGCGTTGAAGCGGCCCCATCCGCGCAGGTCCGAGCCATGTGGCGGCAGTGACGTTTATCTGCAGCTCGTCCCATCGATGGGACGATGCGTGTGGTGTATCCACATGAGAAGAGCTCGCTGGCTGCTCCAAGGACATCCTCAGGAGAAGGAGGTCTTCTCTAAGGCATCTTCCCATGTCTTGGATGCTAACCCCGATGCTCAGCCTAGGTTTCGGGGTTCGTTTGATACTTGAGGAGTGAGAGGTGGCATCACGCTGGGATGCTGCTTGGCGAGCAGAGCATTGGCTCTTGGTCTTGGGGTAGAGACAAGAGAGTTTGGCCCGAGCGAAGGTTTGTGTTTTGTGGTGCCCATGCAGCTCGTGCCCCTTGGCTGAGGTGATGCCATCTCCTCGCTTCCCAGGAGCCGCTTCCAGCATGGGAGGAAGGAGCAGGGGCAGAGCCTGTGCCCGGCTCAGAGCCGCTGGTTTGACCCGTATGACTCGCTTAGGTTGTGCACATCCAGCAAAGTGTTCCGTGCCAGGCAAGCCTCAAAGAAACTCTCCGTTTCCTATGGGAAACGGGGTTCGCTCTGCCAGCGATTGGAGAAACGACGAGTCCCGAAACGTCCCTGGCAGCCCGGGATCTTCCCTTCCTTTTTTCTCTCTCTCTTTCCTCCTGTGTGGCGCGTCCTGCCGCGCCTGGGATGGCGGCGCGGGGGCTCGCGAGGGCAGCGCGAGCTCGGGAAGTTCCTCTGACGGCTTCTGCAACCCGTTATGACTGGCCGCTCTTTGACGCTGCGATCTGGCGGCGCCGCAGAAAGTCCTTTCTGAAAACCTCAGCCTGATTTCGCTCTCAACCACGGAACCGTGATATTAATTTCTCGACGCCCGCCTCGGCCCCGGCGGCTCGCGCGGCGCCCGGGCCTCGCCGCCGAGCAGGCCGAGGGCTTTGCTGAATGAAATCCAGCGGGATGGATCCGGCGGTGCCTGCTGCAGCCTTCCCAGGGCACTACTACAGCGTGAAAACAAAACAGCGCTCCGAGCCAAGCCGCCTTCGTTTGGCTCGGAAATAAATTTTCCAGTCAGTTTGGAGCCAGACACTTATTTAATTTTTTCATTTTTTTTTAACTGCGCTACTAATCCTTTGAATATTTTGAGATTGGAAGCTGGTTGTATTCCCCTGCGATTCCCTCCTCAGGTTTTGGGCCAAGTTTGTGAAACGCTCGTGCTTTGTGTGGGTTTGGGTTTGTTTTGTTTCGGTTGAAGGCCGCAGCTCGTGCCCGCCAGCGCAGGTAACGCGCGGGGCCTCGGATGCGTCGCGGGCTCTTGGGGTCGTGCGCCCATTTTATCATTCGTTACTTTATTATTCGAAACTTCTTAAAATGGAAACTCAAGTGGTTGGTTAGGTACAGTTGAGCGTGACTGATGTATTAGTTCTTTTTTTTTTTTTTTCTCTCTTTTGTAAGCCCAGTTCTGTTTTCTGAACTGGTTTGGAAGGTCTGGTTTGTTTTCTATTTAAACTCTGGAACGTAATATTTAGAAGAAGAAAGTTCCAGTTCTTTAGCAGAGACAAAAACTCCTTAGGTTTGCTCTGCGAGCAGCTTCTCTGCATATAAATCAAATTGTAGCTCGCTTCTTAGCGCGACAGTCATTTTCCTCTCTTTCTTGGAGTCAGAACCATTTGGGGAAGAAACGTGAGAATTCACTTAAACTATCAAGACAGTGGTTTGGTGAGGTTAGAGCAGAAATTGCTGCCTGTGCTTGCAAGAAAGCAGAACCATTTATGAAGGAGAGAAAAAGGTGGTTTTGCTGAGGAAAGAAATCGGAGGGTAGGAGTTACATATGCAGGAATTGCAGGGGCTGGTTTTGATCTTGGATATGCCCTGTGGCCACCTACCCTACTAGGGGTGCAAAAATTTATCTCTTCCTGCTGTCCAAGTCTGGGATTTCAGGCTGTTTTATGCAATTTGGAGGCAAATCTTTGCCCACGTCACTTGACCAGTCTTCGATGTGAGCAGAACCCCATCTGGGCACATCTTGGAGCTGCTTCAGCCTGTTGTGGGTCGTTTCAGAGGAGAGCAATGCTTGGAGAAGTGCAAGGAGGAAGCTGAATGAAAGCCCGTCCTGCTCTTGCCTTGTGCAGCGAGATGTGAAATACTTGACGCTTGAAGTGTCCATTAACAAGGTCCCCAGGTGAAGGGGTATTTGTGGCTCTGAGAAAGCTGAGGGAAGTCCTCTTGGACCCGTTTGCTTCCTCCACATTTCCCCAGTACCAATTTCACTTTGGAGCATAGATGCCATTCAGTCTGACTCAGCCTGTGGGTGAGTTGACTCCATGGTGGTGGCCCTCATGATAACTCCCTGTAGCATTCCCTTGTGAGCCCATGTCCTTCAGCCCATAGAATCATAGAATGCTTAAGGTTGGAAGGGACCTCTAGAGGTCCACGTGCACATGATGTTTCCACGGTGCCGGGCAAGCATCGTTGTCATTAAGAGGTATGGGGAGAGCTTCTGGGCGGATGGGCTCAGCTTCTAGGAGAGGTGCCTCTTTCTTGATGATTTTCATGGGCTGACGAGGCCGTTCGCGTCTCTTGCATGCAGGTTTGCTGGTTATTATTTACTTATTTATTTGTTTATTTCCTGTGCAGCTTCCAGGTGGCGGTCTCAGTCGGTAGCAGAAGATATACAGCCAGAAATATGGATTGCACAGGAACTGCGGCGCATTGGCGACGAATTCAATGCCTCCTATTGTCCAAGAAGGGTAACTTGCAGATTTTTCTTTTCCATTTCTTTCTGCGCAATCCCTAGAAGGGACTGGAAGTGAATTCTGTAGCAAATGTTTCATTCACTCGGGTGTGGGGTGGTTGTGTTTGGTTGTGGACATGTGGATGTGCCTGTACTGCGGAGTCATTTGCCATTACAGTCGTTAAAGAAATTCAGAATAACCTTTAAATCAGGACTTGAAGTTTTCACGTATAAAATGCATGATTTTATTCACAGCATTGCAAGCCAGTAGAACATGCTCTATTACTCGTTTAGGACTGAAGTTGTAGATAATAAGGAAAAAGTTCTAAAAAACTAAAACAACCTCTCAAAGTTTTATATCTTGGCATATTTTTTTTGGAATGAGAAGTTCCCTGGAAAGGGTACCTGCCAGGAGCTGGGGAGCAGGCACATGTGGGGACCAGGTGACAGGGTTTTGGACGTGGGCAGCATGGGAAAGCTGCAGGTTTCTGTGCTCACCTACCTGCCTGGTTCCTCGTGATCGTGTAGGTGGAAAATACAGTCACAAACATGATGGAGTCTGATTGCTGACTGCTTTTTTCTTTTTTTTTTTCTTCATAAAGAGTGTGAGACTGCTGTTTTTTTGAGACATGTATTTGGAGCGTTGTAAACTCCTACCTTTGTGTTGCAACAAAACTAGGTGGAACTAACACCTCCCCCCCAGCCCAAATCAGTGCAAAGAGAAGTGAAGCAACAGCAGTTTTCCCAAAGTTAGCAAGTCTAACCCACCCGTCTGGCGTTACAACGGCTGCGTGTTGGTGCCTGTGGTTTCCAGTCCCCCAGCGTGTCCTGTGATCAGCCCGTTCCGTGCCCGCGGTGACGAGCTCGCTGCCCGGATCCTTATCCGGCCTCCCCGCGCCGTGAGTCGCGCCGCCCGTTTCCTCACCGTTCCGTGGATTCACGTTGTCGTCCTGCAGAGGTTTTCCCCCAAAACGGGGCCAGGTCGTCTCCGGCTGCCCTGCTCCGTGCAGGATCTTCCCGGGCTGCCTTGCTGCTTCTCTGTCTGGTTTTATCCCTGTGAATCCTCATTTTTTCTCCCAGGTGGAGCGGGCACATGCTTGGCCTGGCTGTGCCACTGATGCAAGCGAAGGTTTAGGTCGTCTTTGAGTGGCCTGAGCTGTTCTCCTCTCTCTGGGGCTTTCTTCCTTCTCCTTCCCGTGTGTGTTGAGCAGCCTGCTTGGTTTCTCTTCATCCATGAGCACGTTCAGCTGCATCTGTCGTGTGCAGGAAGATTTGCCAGCATCTTGCTCTGCCGTCTGGCACAGCTTTTACTGTGAGCCCTACTCCCTTCCTGGACAAATCTCTCCAACGGAGCAGGAAGCCCAACCTGTAACGGGTTGGTGATAACCTGCATCCCATCCAGACCTGACCCATCCGCTCTCAGCCAGCTCCTCTTGCTGCAAAACACCCGATTATTGGTGCAATGAACAGCCTTTTCATTGCAAAGCAAAACATCTATCTGATGAGGGATGAGTGCTCAATACCTTCTGCTAGCACTTGGAAGTCCAATGTGGAAGTCCAATCTCTTGTTTTCTTGTCTTATTCTCAAACTCCAGTCATCTTCCTGGCCCTTGTTTTCCTCGCAGGTGTGGGAAGGGTGTTTGCTGCATGGGCTGGGTTTGGGAGGTGAAATTGGTGGTGCAGATTCTGGAAAAAGTTCTTCATCATAGGTGGTGGAGATGTGAGTAAGGTGGTTCTCGGGGTTGCATCTTCTTGCTCTCATACTCCTAGTCACCCACTGAAGCTCCTTTGAGTTTCCTGGGGTGGGATTATTTTGTTTTAATTCTTTTTCCCTCCGTTGAAACGAGGAGCCTCTGTGATGGGTCTTGCTCTTCCTGAGTCACTGCGTTGCTCCTGCCCATGTGGTGTGAGGACTGGAGAAGCTGGTTGTGGTACACGATGTTTCTGCAGCTCTGATTCAGGTCGAAAGCAGCATCATTCCCTGTTGTCCCTTAAACAGACGCCGGTGGTGAACTCTTGTCATCCTTTATTTTCCATAAGAGTGAGTTTTGGAACATTTAAGCAATCGTAGATTTGTTGCACAATGCACAGGAATATTGCCTCTGGAATAGGTGTCTTCTCCTCCATCCATCTGTCCTGCCATTTAGGAAAAAAGACAAGTCGAAGCTCTCAGACAGGTCAGTGCACCTGAAGTGCTGCTAGTTCTGCAGCTGTGGGGTTTCCTCCCTGTGTTGTAGCTCTGGCTCCTTGGGTTGCTCCTGGTTTGCTCCATAACACGGAGGCCGAGGAGAATTCATCACCTTGGGCCACGCGGTTGTGTCTTCTCCTTCCATCATGGGACCAAGCTGCCCGGCAAGGCAGAAGAGTCTCCTTTTTGCTGCCTTATTTATTTATTTAATAAAATTTGGGTGCTTTTTTGTGACTTTTTTAGGGTTTTCTTTTTTCCTTTTCTATATGTTTTTCCCTTGCCTTGCTCTCTGCCTCATCGGCTTAGCCGGGGGGAAGAGTTTGCATCTTGGTGTAAAACACCCCGATTTCTGCTCTGACCGTTTGCATCTCGGAGCCCAGTTTCTGCCCTTCTCCAGGGCACGTGTGGCCGTGACTTTGCAGTGCTAAACACAGCCCAAGTTGAGTTGTTTGCAAACGGGGAAGGAAAGGGGGTGACGTCTGGGCTTCTCTTTTGCAATTTGCAGCACCTTGGGGTGCTGCCCTTTTTGCTGTTGCTGATAGACCAGGCGTGGGCATCTGGAGCATGAAAAAAGGGTGCAAAGTATTTGTTAGATACCTCTCCAAGGTGATTCCTATATATATAAAAATAATTAATAATAATTAAGAAAAAAAAAAGCTGTGAATTCTCCCTGTTTTCCCAGCTTTGCCCAGGGTGAGTGTTTCACCACGCAGCCAGAGGTGTGTGGTCTCCTCTCCTCCAAAGCTTGGGGGCTTATTTATTTATTGGACTCAAGGAAAGGTGCTAGTTGAGAGTTTGGAGGTGGTATGGGGTTTTCTTTGCATGTTTTCATTCTTGTTGCTTTTTTCAACAAGTCCGGAGGACCATATTTATGTTTCCATGTCCCTGTTTGAAGGAAATATAGAGTTTGGGGGGTGAGAACCAAGCGATCCTGTAACTCTAGAGGGAAAAATCACAGTCTGAGGCTGAGAGTGTAGAGGGACTTGGAGAATACCCTGTTGCCTCCTCTCATTTTTCCTTCTCTACCAGGACCATGAACTACCATTTATGTGTAGGAGAAAACCTTATCACCAGCTTTCTCTGAGGGCATTAGATGCCATCAAACTAGTTAGGCAGACTCTGCACCTTTTGAGAGAAATGGAATGGAGATGTCCAATGCGTTGGTGTCAGTAGTGATTGGGAGTCCTCCCTCAATAACCATGTTTTGTGTCCTGGTAACCTAGAAGCTGTGGTGTTTTTCTATCCTATCAAGTTCAAAACCAGAACGATGGAGATGTCCAGTGTGTTGGTGTCAGTAGTGATTGGGAATCCTCCCTCCTTAATAACCACATGTTTTGTATCCCAGTAACCTAGAAGCTGTGTTGTTTTTCTATCCTATCAAGTTCAAAACCAGAAATAATATTGGCAAGTTCAGGGGATAATGTGTTGTCTTTCCTCTATAAGAGCTCCCTGAGTGGCTCCTCTTTTCATCATCACCCCAATACTAGAATTGTTCTAGGACTGCAAAGCAGAAGGAACTTCTCTTTGTTGCCCATATGGCATCGCACAAGGGACTGTAGGTCTGATATTAAAGTCGTTTTTACTCTTCTTTTTTTGTCTTTTTTTTTTAGGGTTTCTTGGATAATCGCGCGGGCAATCCGCAGGTCGTCATTCTGCGCCTCCTGCATTACATCATCCGCCTCATCTGGAGGATGCAGTGAGCGCCGCGCGCGGTGCAACACCCAGAGACTTGTCTCCTTGCGCTGAAAACCAGCGAAGAACAAGCAGCAGCGGGGCTTGTCCGTGCCCTGGACAGGCGGTTTGGAAAACTTCCTTCCTCCAAGGACATCCCGAAGGTGCCGTGGTCGCCGTCGGCGGAAACCCGCACGTTGGCTGCTGCTTCCCGTGTGTTCTTGGGTGGCACTGGAGGCACCTGCCTCGCCAATGGACCTATTGGAACTCTCTGAAGCAGGATTTTGTCTGAGAGTGGTGTTTACTGTCTTTCTCTTGAACTCTTTATTTTTTATACATTTTTTTTTTTTAAAGATTGATCTCAGAGAAAATGCTCTGCAGATATTGAATCACTTTTCCGTCGTTCCTGGAAATCTGTAGGCTCATCTTGGATCTATCCTGCAGCGGAGAAGACTGAGCCAGCCCATCTGCAGAGCTGCCTTAGTTTGTATTACAAATATTACTGTGCATTCGTGCAGCCCCGTCCTTCCCTTGCCCTCGTCAGGGATGGGATGTGGGTCTCCCTCCTTCCCAAGTGTTTGCCTGCAAGGAAGAGGCTGCTGGAGGAAGGGAGATGGATTTAAATCAGCACTTCATTCATCTGTAAATACCTAATATAACGCCAAATCAAATCCTATTTGCAGCATGCAAATAGCCTATTTCCTGC